TATACCTTAGGTTACTGACATATTAATATCTTATTTCAAAGAGAATAGGTAGTTAAAGTACCAAAACGAGTGAGCGTCATCTTTCATATCTAAATTGGTATAATATTTTCGTTAAATTTCTTAAAATATTTAAAAACTTGATTTATTTTGAAGGGATAATAATTTAAGTAAAATAACGAATAAATATTATTTGCTCTGCTTATAATCGTTTCCCACCAATGAGTGATAGTTGGAAAAGCATCAAGGCATACGCATTTAGGATGAATTGCTGAACTTCTGATAGAACGAATTCAGCTCTTGTATTTTGCACATGACTTTTAATGCCTTTTCTTCCGATTGGATCTATTTTTACATTTCTTATACTTACTCTGTGGCTCCAGGCAAGATGTCGTCATATCCTCTTTTGACATTATCATTCCAAGCTAGCACTTCATAATTGACTAAAGTAAGCTGATTTTTAAACTGGAATTCCTGAACTGGTTCGTTTTTTCGGTATCTCGATTGCTTAATGCATTGCTAGTCTGGATAAAAAACGTATAAGTATATTTAAGTATTTGACAGCAGGAATTGTTATTCTTTTTTAACGGAAGACGTCTTGGAGTCGTTTCAACTTATGTATATGTCGAGCGGCAACGTTACGATTGCCTTGCATCTAAATTATGCTGCGATAAATCTTGGTATTACACTAGGCCAACCAATTTTGAAGAGGTCCTTCCATCTATTATGTGCCATGCTAATCTCTGCTATTTCTTATCTGACAAAGTTTCAATAAAATCTTGGGATGCTTACCCTAGCTTGTGGAGTATAACAAGATGATGATCGTTAATCCATGCGAAGATCCCCCTCAAGACTTATGATAGCTTCAGGCCCTATGTGTAATTAATAATATAGCAAACTCAACACGTTTTTAAAACATATGAAGTCTAATCTTAAAGTAATTTATTAGGCATCTTGCAATGTTCTCGTTTTCGAACCATAAAGCACACTAGCTAGAGCGGTACTCTTAAATATTTAGAAAAAGTCTACTTCTGGACTTAACTCATCATCCTGACCATGAATATTCGTATAATTAAAAAAATTTCTTGTATTGTCGTGACCACGTAATAATTTTTTGGTTCTTTTTACAGCAAGCGGGTCGCATTGAAGCAATTACATAGTATCATTATCAAACGGAATCTGCCGAAGAGTAGATTTCCGAAATTAATGCAGAAATGTTGTCTAGCTTCAGCTCTGTGTAATAGGATAAATGCGTTAAAGTAGACCAGCTTTTATCTTATTTTATTTTACTTATTCCGAGGGCTTCGTTAGTTAAGGAACCAAATTCTTTTCTGTAACCAACAAGGGACGTAAATATTTTATTAATTTAACCGCTAGTTCATGAGAGGAAATTAGTGCCTATCTTATTCTCAGAGCAGCGCAGATTGTCTCCTTTTAATGGCCAAAGTAAGGTTCCAGGCTATTTGGCATTTTCAGCTACGATTTGAGTCTGCCTTAAATGTATGGTTTATTTAGAGTATAAAAGTAGGTCACTGAGGTTTAGTAGTTGAGATAAGGAGATTTTCAGTTTATAATGAAATTTTGTTGGAGCTAGACGATGATCCTTCGCCTCGCGAGCAGCTGATATTTGCTATCACTCCTCTTTTTGAGGCTCTCAATCGTCCTTCAAGTTTAATTAAAAGGGCACATTTGCTAGAATATCACAATTTAGCGCGATATCATAGGTAACTCTGACTCATGTTAACACTGCTTTGATTACTGAGAAAGGAGGAAATTGTTTTGGTTTGTTGTCGATTTTCTTAGCTCTTTTTTGAACATTTGGCGATGGAAAGCAGCACCTTCTAGGATCGTGAAGCTTATGTATGATACAATTTAACTAAGTTTCCTTACATATTTCGCAATTTTATTATGTCCAAGATGCAGCTAACATCATAATAGCTCGGTTATTACTTTTACAAGAGTCAATAATTTCTCCTTGGTGTGGGCAATGTGAACCATTCTTATATTTTAAATCAGGACTCTAATCTACAGAATAAGCATTTCTAAATAAAATCAATATTATATTTCATATATTTCTTCTAGAATTAATTATTTCTAGCTATTACGGTAAGAGGCTGTTGATTAAAATAAAGTTTAGTAACGAACATGAAACAGCTATGACTGATCTCTAAAGATTATTGACTTGAACTCGTACTATCTTTTCACGTTTCAAAGTGATTCAAATCACTAATTTAACTATATGCCCATATATGCATCTCCTTTTACCTTTCTTTTGCTTTGTCTAGGCTGGAGATATTTTACCCAATGATATTTTCTCGGTACATGATCACACTATTTCTGCACTATTTCGACGCAATGGCCCACCTAATATGGTTCGATTGACGCGCGCCTCCTACCAGATAATGATGATGCTTGGATTCATCAATCCACCTCTGTAATACTGTAATTATTTTTAAATTTACTTATTATTCCAATTATCATCCTTATTATCTAATGCGTCCCGCTAGAAGTGCAGTCTACTCTGAATGAAATTTTTTGGGATGAATGGCTATGCGAAATTTAATTGGAGCCTAAGTGCTACTTATCATTGTGGGAAAATTTAACTATCAGTCTTTCAACGCCTTAATGAAATATGGTTATCAGATTTAATATATCTGATTTATTTATAGTTTTTGAAAACTTACCTACAAACGAAAATATAACAAGTTGACTACATTTATATATTCGTATAAGAGTAAGGTTTCGAGACTACCAGTAAATCAGTGTAATGAGATGTATACACGAAATAGGGTGAAAACATCTCATTACATTTCTATAACTTGTTTTGTGAGAAACGTCGGTCTGAACACCATTTATGTTGTCCTTTGCAATAGTATTGTTGATAATTTTTAACTGACCTGTCTCAATAGCAAACTTTTCGACAAAACCCACGTCCAAACTATCTTTGTCTTCATATTTACCTTCTTTTTACTCTTTTATATCCAATACTTTCTGCAACTTTCCAAGTTTTATCTGTGTAAACATTTAATGTTATTATGAGCTGATAAGGTATAAATGAATCAATACTTAGGTATACCGTATATCCAAGTTAATGCCAAATCAATTGTATATTTTTATTATACACAGACAAGGGTTTTTTAAAATCTCATCCCCTTTGTCTCTAGTATGGCATCGAATGTGGCGTTAGTGATTATGCGAATTTCTGGGTTGCCAAGATATTTTACCACCGAGCCTTCAGTCAGTCTACCTTTTTCTCTACTACCCTTTTTATGCATCTTCTCCAATTTATCTAATGCGTCTTCTCCTACTGCGTCCCAGATAACTTTGGCCACGCTTACATGTAATTGCTGAATTGTAGGAGAATTGTTGAAATTTGTGAGGCTTTGTTTGAAGTATGGAATAGTGACGTGGGTTAATTGTAAGCATATTTTTTATTTTGAACCTAAATGGTCTAGAAGAAAAACTTTGTAAACCTATTTTTGTCGGTCTTTTGTGAAAGATTTTCTGGCCTTAGGCACTATTTTTAATTATTTCTTCAAAGTTCCTATTTCCAGCATGACTTGTTAGGATGAGATGAGCTACTGAGTGAGTACGGCTTAAGTGCATCGCTTTAAGCAGTGGTTCCCAAACTTTTCCTAGTCGTGGCGCCTTTTTTTAATTAAAATTTTTCCATGGCGCCCTACCTTAAGTATGACTATTCGTAAGAGATTAAAATAAATAAAACTCGTGTATTTTCATTATTTTTTTTACTTTATTAACAATAAATTAATATTTAATAATAAATGTGATGGATGAGCCTCAAATCACTACAAATTTTCTCAAATTGAAGCTTTTACAATATTTCACAGCGCTCCTGTTAATAGGTTGCGGCTTCCCGGGGCGCCGCGGCGCACAGTTTGAGAATCACTGGCTTAAAGCGTTATCAAATATTCGAACTAGTTGCTTTATTCCTTCCGGGCTTTAATTTGTCCCGGCTTTCCCCAACACTTCATCTCTTCTTAACCATTTAATTGTTTTCATTTACAGTGTTTCCATACATAAACAATATATTTTAGTTTAGTAAAATGTCACCTGTGCGGGCTGGATAGATAGTATACTTGAAAGAAACACTTAGGCCTTTTCAAAATTAGTTTGCAGATTTTTTTATATTTCCATACAAGTCTCTTCCTCATCCTTCCATTATTTTAAAAGGTGCTTTGAATCGATAAAGAAACTTTTTGGCGAACAAAAGAAGCCTTTAGCTCGTAGATAGTAAGACCAGATGGTGTGGCCTTGTGTTTGGTCACATTTTCCTTTAGCTGTATAGTTCTGGTTTGAAATCATTTCTGCAAAGAGACTTTTATTTTTCAAAAACCTCGAATAATGCCACAATCTACTTTGGAGTTCGAACCATTTGGTGTCCCGCAAGAAAAAATAAGTCGTAGTATGACCATATCTTATTTGCCGTAGCAACATCAGTATAGATTATTTCGGCTTCTGATTCATACTGTTATAATTTTACTTTCACCCTATGCATATAATAGATTGGGCTTCCTTTTTGTGTTATAGAAAATAAATTCAGGGACTAAGCTCTCCTGTATTTAATCTTCTGCTCTTGCTCTCTTACCTCTAGCCTTCCTCTATCCTGGTTGGTGAACCGATACATTCGTGCTCTTCATTTGCCTCTTTGTGTTCTACTTGCCTGCCATGAATTGATGCGCCTGCTCGATCGACGTTTGGTTGGCCATCTGTCATCACTTCTGCCTTCTGATGGGGTTGAAAATTTCTCAAACGTCTTGTCCAAACTATTTTCTTTGACACCTTGGTTGCGGTATCTTCGTGGTGAGGTCTTTGCGATGGCAATTATTCTGGTCGCCTTGAGATGGATTTTCAAGCTAGACGATCACTATGAGGTGTTTACACTTATACGCACTTAACAGCCTTGATTTGTAAGAACATTGTCTTCTATTTAGGATCTTTAGTTGAAAAAATCCCTAATTGAGATTACCTTGGTTCTTTAGTATTTTGTAGAACTATTTACCCAAAGAAGGGCTGTTTGTTAGTCTGAAATAGTTCATTCTTCCTAATGCTTACAGCTAATCATATATGAACAAATTATGTTTAGTTGAAAATGTCAAAACCAAGATGTTGTGGCCTCGGGTATGGTCGCTGTCTCCTTTCAACTTATAGAAGTGGGTTGACCTTGTTGTCGAAACTTGTTCTTGTGTTTAGGCAGACTTTGTAGAACGCACCGAGTCCGAAGTCGTCTACCATAGTAGTTGTCTTGATTCCCAGCATCTGACAGTGAACTTGATACATTCTCAAGACCAAGTTGTGACAACGACGTCAACCCACTTCTAAAATTATGTTAAGACTTATTTATGGTCTTCCTTATAGTAATTCAATAAGAATGTTTTATGTATGCAGAAGACTGGGTTCCGAAGAATCTTTTAATTGATTGCTGTTCTAGTGTCTTTCATTTCGTTTGAAGAGGCAAGTGGAAGGGATTCCTAAGTTTGTTCCATCGGAAGCTGTAGGAGGATTGCCTTTTAGCTGCGATTGCAGTTTTGTGCGAATAGATCCTCGGTGCAACTCCTGCCACCCTGATGAATCCGTGCTTAGCTTTCGTGTGTTATGTGACAGACATCGTCAGAGCAAGTTACCATGTTTAAGATAATTCACCTAAAACACTAAGGCAAGACATGTGGCCGGCTCCAGACCTATTTCCTTCTTATAGTCCAAATTGGTCCATTTAGGCATCTTTTGGCTGGATGCCCTATGCTTTGCCCATATATTTGCTCATAAGTTAGGTGGCTGCATATTAAGCGTAAAATCGGTTCAATTGAAACCGAACAGCTGCATCCTCCCTTAAAACACTTATGCCTTTGATCCTGCAATGTTACCGCATGGGATTGCGTCCGACTTCACGCGTGTTGTGTGAATGCGTTGCTCTTTAACTTATTGTAATGCGATAGTCAAAACCAGATTCGAGTTTAAGCCAGGATGCTCCTCTTTAATCCTATCCAACAGCCAAAAGTGATTTCCACACAACTTCCTATACTCATTTCTTTTATTCGGAGTATTGGCTGTTTTGCTGATTTCTATTGTCTCCCTAATCTTTCGCTTACTGGTATAGTCCCCAAATCCAGCTAAACGTTTGGCACTAAACAAATCTATATATCGTCCTGTGTAATCCATGTGTTCGGTCAATTCCTATATTTGGACCCACATAACCTTACAAGCTGTTTTGTTTTCGGATAACCTTCCATGTAATGAGCTACAGGTCTCTCTCACATAGGCGCTACCACGTAAACACTTAATCTTGTAACAGCCCGATCTGGAGAGTGGTCAGAGTATTCTCGAAAAAAATTGAATACCACGGAAAGTGTTATTTTCTCTTTATAAATGGTCCTGATGTCCCATCTCAGTAATTTGCCTATCTTTATCGACAGATTACACAGTGACAGCATATAGTGGTCTAATTTTTTGTCTAGCCCTAAATATGTGTTTATCTCCATTCTATTTGACAATATTATAAAATAATTGTCAATTGGCCCTCATGGATAATTATTCTCAATTAGAATTATCTTTAGTCTTCCAGTTACCGGTTCCGATGCTTAAAATCTGCCAGACGCAGGCCCCTTATTATCATAGATTTCATAACTCCTTCTTTAACCTCATAAGTGTGGTTGGAGAAGAAATTCAAACGGAAACTTGAATTCGTGGGTGTCCTATACACATACATACCTCTGATAACTAGACATCAAGAAAAGATAAACCGCCTTCCTTTTCTAACTTGATGGTGCATTTCGTCTTCCCATCGATCCTGTTCATCAAATTCTTCAGGTTTTGTTTACGACTTATAATTCATTATCATTTCTACTCTCTTCTCGAAGATGATCTGTAAAACTTATATCAGAATCTCCTTCATATTATCATTACTGTTTGGCAAATCAAAATTTAAACGCTTCGCGAGCACTTTCTTGGTCGTAAAGTTTAAGGATGCTTTGGAGAGGTTTACCACTCTCACCAACTATCCTTTGCTTATTAATGTCTCTTATTAGCTTGATTAGCCTTTATCTTGATTTCTATAGCCAAGTTCCTAAGTTTCTTATAATGTCTGTATCTAGCCTGTTGAAAAATAATATTATACAACCTGTCCACCATTCTTTGTAATTTATAGAGATCTGAGCTAACAGTGCTCGCCAATGATTGGCGTAATCTGGTTCTCCTTATCAAGGAGTGCAATTTTATAATATTTTTTTGGGTCCTAATATTACCTAAATCCTGGGATGCCTTCGCTTAGTTCTACGTACGTAATACGTACGGATATCAATGTTTTCGAGTCATCACTGCCATAAGACCATGGAAGCTCTGGCCCGTAAGTCAACCATATTCGTCTTTACAAATTATGTTTTTCACCTAGGGTTGTTCCTAGATTTTGTATTATTGATAGACCAAATTTGCCAAATAGAACTAAACGAGTCCTTCAGAGGGCATCACAGGATTTAGTTAATATTAGGACCTAAGATAACATAATGAAATTACATTCCTTGATAAGGAGGGCTACCAGATTACGCCAATCATTAGCGACTGGCCTCTTCTTCATTGCTTTTGACGCTTCTTCTTTCTTCAAGAGTGATTCTTTGACCCTAGGCTTTTCGAAATTATTGTTAACTCCAGATGTACAAAATTGGAATAAAAATTAATTTATAAGATGAGAAGTACAATGATAATTGAGATCACAATACCATTTATTCCTATACCAGATTATAACAAGCGATTATGGTTATGATGGAAGGATAAGGTGATACTCCGAGCTGAAAATATTAATTTCGTTTACATGGAATATCCTGTGAATATGATTCCATTTATGGTTACTAATTGTATTGTCTTCTTAAATACTATACAGTATCGTCTGCACTCCGTTGCTCAGCACTTTCATGCCAATCCGGATTGCCTAGATCGACTTTTAAAGTATGGTCATTTACTACCCAAACGATTATCAATTGAGTTATCTGCCACGCCATCGTCTTTTCCTCAGCCTTCTCCCTTTCTTTGGGTTCGCTGGGTCGCCTGGATGCATTCTCGCTATTCGGATCGTCAACATTATGTTGCAGACGCTGGTTCTGATACACTTTCTACATCTTGTCGTTCCAAACTACCTAACCAATCTGTTGATATGGATGAAACTATACAATCTCTGGAAGAGTCATTGTTGAATACCACTGGGATCATGAACAAAAAGATGGATTCTCTGCGAGTCGATCTAAAAAGGAAGATAAGTGCACCCATTAACTCGGCTAGGTCAAGCGAGGATATATGTTCTCTTCAAACAGCCTCTGAATTCCTTGGCGATGCCGAGTTTCAGTTGGATCGAGGTGATGTTGGCTACAGTGAACGTGACATCCGATTTCGAATTGTTTACGACGTAGGTTGGCAGATAAGTGACAGGTCTCTACTGATCATTTCTATCACCCCAAGTTTAATTTTATCTAATATACTCTTATCTATATTCAACCACGCTTTTTAAATATTATTCGAAGTTTAGACATGGGCATTTGATCTATTTCATCAATAAATCAGATACATGAAATTTGTTCATCTATTTTTGAGATTGAATTTTCTCACAGTAAGTTTCCATTGAATTTTGCATAGCCTTTTTTCTCAAAATGTGTTCTCATCCAGGCCTGACAGCTGTTTATGGATAACTTTGCCTTTTGCCTGACAAAACTCGGAGAAAACGAAGATACGACAAGACAGGCAAATAGGAGACACCAGAATCACGTATCGATCGTTGACCAGAGGAAAATAGATCTTAAGGAAGAAGCGGGTGAGGAAGTTTCGGAAATCAAGCAATAAGGTTTTCAGTGAATGTAGTCTGCTCGAAGAAACAACTGCAACCTTGGGCGCCTGGAGGTCACAGGACTAGGGAAAAGGATAAACACAACCGTCACATAACTTTGGCATTGTAGCGAAATTGGCTAAAAAGTGCAAGAGATTCTATATATGACCAGAGATAGATGTTCACCGTTTGCAGTGGGTACACGGTTGAATTAAGATGAGCAGTGGAGACTGCCTGATAGCTGCAAGCATTGGAATTAGAGCCCAAGTACTGTCCTCGCTGAAGTGACAGTGTACCTGCTATAAAAGGCTTGGAAAATAGCGTCTGGAGCAAGATGTACACATGGGCTGGAACAAAGTGAAATCAGTCAAAAAGAAAGATAAGAAACGAATCTACTGGCCAATGAGGTAGATCCGAACAGGACACCCGAGTCGGGTCAGCAAATCAAAGGGAG